TTATAGAGCATCTTTTACAGAGATCAGCTCACAGTTGTGCTTCATTTACAGCTTAGTTTAGACTTGGCTTTATCCTTGTTTAGTCCTGGGTTCATCCTGGCTCAGTTCCAGTGTTTCTTTCTTTGCTCTGTGCTCTCAGACTCAGGTGTGGAACCAGGAAGAAGTGGAGCCCCTTCTGAAGAATCTGGTCCTGACCGGAGAAATAAACACACTTACATACATTTGTTTGGTACATTTAACCCTTGTAAGGTCTTCGGGTCTGTGGGACCCGTATTCAGTTTTTAACTTCAGAAAAATTATACAAAGAATTATTTTTTCAGCCTGAGATTATTTGGCCTTGGCTCATTTTGAGTGAGGAACATGAATCAGAAAAAAAATTAACTGGAACCCCCTTGATTCCACCTTCACACTTATATTACATACAGGGTCTTTGGGTCCACTGGACCCGGAGCTACTGAAAGTATGAAAATCATAAGCTCCTCATTTCCCCTTCTCCTCTTTGGGCCTGTGTGTGTGTGTGTTGTGTATGTGTTGTGTGTGTGTTGTGTGTGTGTTGTGTGTGCTGTGTGTGTTTTGTATGTGGTGTGTGTGTGTTTCGTATGTGGTGTGTGTGTGTTTTGTATGTGGTGTGTGTTGTGTGTGTTTCGTATGTGGTGTGTGTATGTGTTGTGTGTGTGTTGTGTGTGCACCCAACACTATCTGCACCCACATCTCACCCTCTGTCTGAATGAATAAATGAATGAATCCAGGGTTCCCCATAAACATCTCTGTCAGTGAGAATCCCAATCACAACTGATCATGATGGTGATGAACACCATGATGGTGATGAACACCATGACGGTGATGAACACCATGACGGTGATGAACACCATGACGGTGATGAACACCATGACGGTGATGAACACCATGGTGGTGATGAACACCATGACGGTGATGAACACCATGATGGTGACTGCGATGGAACTGATTCTAGAAGAGACAGAGGGTTTTGATGGTGCAGCTGAGGAAGATGTCTCTGAGAATGAAGATCAAATTTGTGAAAATTCAGGGTCAGAGAGTGAGTTTGAAGAGGACGGGGACAGGAGGGTGAAGATCAGCCAACAGAGTCAGGAGCAGGAGCAAAACACAAGCAGACATCAGCCATAGGACCAGTCTGCCAGCAGCTGGTCCAAGGACCAACTTATGAGGTGAGCTGGTGAGCAGCGAGACATAGGAGGGGACAATGTATGATTGAGAAAAGATGGAAAAATTCAATGATGTTCCACTTCAAGACACCTGGCTTCACACGGCTGCCATCATGATACTGAAGGCGCCAGGGCCTACACGCTCGGCAGTCACACATGTAGATGACATCAGGTCTTCTTTTGACATTTTCTTGCCACCCCAGATCAATAACATGATCCTGGACTGCACCAATATAGAAGGAAGGAGTGAGGAAGAGAGGAAGGTTTTTGATTAAACTAATTTAGATGCCTACTTTGAGATTTTTATCCTTGCCAGTGTTTTCCGTGTTTTTCTGTGTTTTTGTGCACTTTTTACACTTGGTGTTTCACCAAGTATAAAAAGTACATCTGCAATAGACACAGTGAAACTCTGCCCCTCGTGTGATATAGTCTGTCATGAAAATGTCTGTGTTCAGTGGAACTAATGTGTTGTTCAGAGATGTTGTGTAAACTCACCTGTGTAAGTTAAATTTCTGATGAAACTCAAATGAATAGTTCACTATAGTGTTGTGAGAACTTTTTTGTTTTCATGACTGTTATATGATGCATTTCTTTATTTTATTCTATTTTAATAACCCTAACCTTTACAAAAACGAGTGGCCTTTTTATTCATAAATGTAATTTAACAAAGGTAAAGGGAGCATATTTAATAATAAGTTGTTAATACTACTTCCAAATGAGATGAATTAAGCATCTGCTGAGAATTTTAACAAAAAAAGGTTTAAATATGATGATGTAAAAGCTCCAAAGTGCAATGGGTCCACCAGACCCAGCAGGACTCCCTGTGTAACAAAAAAACGAAGACCTTACAAGGGGACGGGGGGGATTATGCAGAACCAACTTTTTGGAGTGTTAAATTGTCGTTCCCTCATTATAACCCTACTTTCAGTTAACTGTATGATCCTGTCCAATACTCAGCTCACAAGCCTAAGCCATCCATGGGAAACAATGGGGAAAAAAAAAAAGGGAAACAAAATAATACATCCCAACTTCATAAACAAAATGATTTTATTCACAAGCATTTTCAAACAGCTGATCCAGACAAAAGAAATGCACCAAGGAGGTTTGGAGAAGGAAGAAAGACTGTAAGTAATGTAGCAATTTTCTGTAAATAATGGTAAACCATTTTATTAATCAGACTCACAGAGATATTGGAATAGCAAATGATACTTTGCTTTGACATGCTTGGGGTGTTCTGCATGTATGTTTATTGTAGAATGTTCAGCAGTATCCATTAGCAAACACTAGAATTTATGGCCCATTTTTATGCCCCAAAAAGAGACTAACTTGAAAATTGGTGAATGTTTTTAAGAGGGACTTGTATAACAGCACACATCAGATCACCTGTTGTAATTTAATCTAAGTTAGTTCTATGTGGTCAGACTGTGTTAAAATAAAGCTCAATCTAATCTGAGTAACAGCTTCAGACAGAGCAGTGCATCCAGTTAGCATCACACCCCCAGAGAATGTTGATGACATCAGCTGCAAAGTACCACTAAGTGTCAATAAGTTGCAATCCAAAAGGTCTTGGTGTCTTTGTGAGAATAAAAGGGTGTTCTGAATGACTTTACAGGACAATCAAAACAGGCACAGGTGGACAGACCCTAGTTACCACAGCACAGTGACATGCAACACAAACACATATCGGATGAAGAGTTTGAGTCACAGCATTCACACTCCGTGAAGCTCCAGGGGATGTTGACGAGGCAGTCAGTAAGACACAAACAGCAAGTCTGACAGCAGGAGGCACAGGAGCACTCTGCACAGGAGAACAGCTTTTAGAACAAACTATTCAGCTAATGACAGAACAATCTCAGACAATACTCTATGTCAGGGGTGTCCAAACTTTTTTAATCAAGGGCCACATATGTAAACACAGATGAAGCAGAGGACTGATCGAGGGTCGTAAAACTGATGCTCAATACAATGAATCATTGAAATATGTGCATGTTTAACTGTTAAGAATTACTGGTCGGACCCAAGTACAGAGAAAAAAAAAGGTATTTTATTAACAAAAATAGTCTTGGAGGGGGAATAGGTTCCAGGGGTACCTCCCATTTGCAACCACATGATGATGAGGCTGACCAGAGGCTCACAGCAACAGGATGAGGCTGGAGCCAAACACAAGTGCACTAAAATGGCGGAACGATCTGGCACTGAAGAGAAGGTCAGTAGGTCTTTTATGGCAGGAGATGATTAACTGATGAGTATCAGGAGTGGGGCTCAGCAGGTGCGCGATTGGGATCCACCCAGGAAACGCCAAACAAGGTAAGGAGACAAAGAGAGAGGGAGCAGGGAAAGGAGGGGTAGGAGGAGCAGGATGAAACCCTCACATTAACATGGTAGAATGAGCCATCAGAGATCATAAAACCACAAACTAAATATATATATAACTATATATTAGATTTATCAAGGTAGACTTTCAAAAAACTTGCAGTAAAAAGTTAATTTTGAATTGATGCAAGGTCATTTGGGCCAATTCACCTGGAAGCCTGAGGGCCAAGAAAAATTTGTCTGAGGTCCTCATTTGGTGAACATGGAGATGGGAAGGTAAGTAGCTACTGGAACACACCAAAGATGCTCCAGTGTGAACGAGGCATGTCCTGAATCATACACGCCAACACAGGGAAAAAACAAAACTCCTCAACTGGACGGAGACATCGCAATGGCACGCAACACTGCAGTTTATCTCGGGTCGGGTGGGTCAGAAAAAAAGCTGACTATAAGGTACACTTTATTGTCCCCATGGAAAAAGTTCTCCTCTGCATTTGACCCATCCATAAAAAAGGTTTATGAGTTTAAAATGCCTTAAAGTGCTGTTGCAGTTCCAGCAAAGACCTTTCTTCATGGTTGTATTAAAATAAAGCACAAATGAAAATGTAACTTGAATAGGAACAGAGCTTCAGACAGAGCAGTGCTTCCAGTTAGCAACACATGCCCAGAGAATGTTGATGTCATCAGCTGCAAAGTAGTAATATTTATGGCATTTTATAGTATTTGATTATTTCTTTTGATGATTAAATGTGGTTATTTTGTATTGGGGTTAACACTGTCCTCTGGTGGTGTTTTACATTCTCCTTTTGCATCGTGTCCCTGATGACGACCAGTAGGATGTAATGTGCTGGAGCTTAGGTCCAACACAGCTCAGATCTCAGAAGCTCAAGTGCCACAGGGGGGCGCCAGTCACAAAAACTTCACCCACATTGCCTAGTATGAAAGTGATGTGTGTTTGAGTGTTGGTGGTGGTGGGAGTGGCTGATGATGCAGATTGGCAGCCTTCCTTCCCTCAGTCTTCCCCAGGGCAGCTGTGGCTATTAGTAGTTTAGCTCCACCGAGTGTGGAGTGTATGAATAGTGCTCTGTAAAGCGTCTTTGTCACATGTGTGTGTGAAAAGTGCTTCATAAATAAGAATTTACTTACTAAAACTTACTTGCCTTCCTTTGTGCTCTCAGACTCAGATGAGGAACCCGGAACAGGTGGAGAACTTTCAGAGCTCAGTCCTGAACAGAGAAATAACCCCACTTACAAAGGTTTGAACACCCTTTCATTTTATTAAGAATAATAATAATTAATTTTATTATTATTATTTCCATTATATCAGTAGCAATGTTGTATAGTCTATTTGATGTCTTTCATATGTGTATAAAGTAGTAAACATAAATAATAAAAATAGGAATGAGAAGGTGTGTCCAAACTCTTGACTGATAGTGTATGTACCTCTAGGTTTTGGTTCATGTAAATTGTGTGTAAAATTAAACAGCTGAGCTCTCGCCTTCTCTGGATGAAGGCTGCAAAGAAACAACTTTTGAGTTCTCTGCCATCTGTAATCTTCTTGTTGAGTGATGTTTGGTCCTTCCTGAGCTCTGTCGTTATGGTGTACTTGTTATACCGTTCCCACGTCTAATAGTCTACTGGTCTAGAACTGGTCTAGACAAGTTTTGCAGTTCCTAAAAAAGGAAGCGGTCTGTGGATGAAGCAAAAGAAAATGGGAACAAAAAAATACACAGAATAGATCAAAATATTTATCATCAAGTTTGTACTTTTTGGGCTGTTTTTTATGTTTTTACTGGCTTTACACCAGCTTTTAACCAGTCGATTTTCTATAGTTTTATCTGTGTTGTTTGTTGTTGTTTTCTTGTGTTTTCTTGTGTTTTACTCATGTTTTACTTGTGTTTTCTCACATTCCATTTGTTTCTATATGGCTGCTTGGGGCAGCACTGTCTGTTTTTAAATGTTTTTAAATGTGCTATACAAATAAACCTTTGACCTTGACCTTGAATGGTAGTGCAATTATTTGCATCACGCTATAATAACCATGGTGGAATACTGCATGTATGTCTATGGAGGAATGTTCAGCAGTCATCATGGTGACACAATATAAACATGAGCAAACACAGAAGATTTAAGATGAAATGTTAACACACAAAACACATTTTCAGGAGCCTGTGATCAATGTGACTCAACTCAAGTGTTCATGGATCTGTTTAGGTGTTTCATTTTCAAACAAAACAGTGACATAGACTCACTTTATCAATTATTATTTTTAACTGGGTTTACTTTAAATTGTGTGTAATATAAAGAGCTGGGCTCTCACATTCTCTGGCTTAAGACTGCAAAGACTTCCCTGCTGTTGATGCTGGGTCCCTCCCATAGACTGTATACACATATACATACACATGTATATATGTATCCATATGTAAACATATGGATACATGTGTATATGTATATGTAACTGGCGTGCTTGAACCGACCAATTAGCCATCGTCTGTGTTGTGTTGTGTAGATGAAGTGAGCCGCACACAGGGGTTTGCCATTCAACAGAACATTTACTCCCTCTGCTCTCCTCAGAGCAACTCACTTTTAATAACAATACTACTAATTACAATAACTCATTTTTACAGTGTAATCGTATAGTTTAATTTTTTTTTTTTTTTTACAAGTGAATCCCCCAATCATGGCTATTTAATATTTTTAAAAGAACAGTAAATCATGTGCAAATGGTACACGTTATACAAATGACAATATATGGAAAAGAAATAACATTTGGTATTGGTGTACAATACGATACTCACATACCTGTGTGAAACACAAAAATGATGAAAATACAGCCTCCAAATGTGACAGCTCCACACACATCTGCAGACAAATAAAGAGTGGCACAGACACATGACACCGCGCTTGCTAGCTCAAACTTACATTCTAACAGTACATTTTCTAAGTGCTGTATTTGAATAAAACATTTCACACGTGTTTTACCAACAGGAACAATAACAAAGGCCCTATAAATCACAATCAATGTCTGAACAAAGTTCAACAAAATGTTACATATAAATGAAGAGAGCAAATGTGCTGCTTACCTCCCTCTGCTGCTCAGAACAGCTGAGGGGAACGACCATGGATCTATTAAAATAACTGGATACAGTGTTGCTGCTTGTAGCTGCCTCGAGTTGACGTAGTGTCACTCAGTGGTACTACAGTCGAAAAAATCCCATGGGCCGAGAGAAGATTTTTCTCATAGAGCGCAATGTAATCACAACCTGCTCGTGTTCGGCTGACAGGGCACCTACAACTTTCAAAAATGTCGGATTTTGTGGCGATTTTTACCTATTTTTAGATCATAAACTTTTTCTCGCTCAAAATCCTTCAGTTGTCTTAAAAAACGCTTTATATTCGTTAGCTCCGGCTCCGCTCTGCTCCGCTCTCGTTCCTCTCGCTCTGATTGGTCAAAGCGATCACGTGATACACGAGCCCGCGCTCCGTGCGTGTGGTCGCGTGCATTCGCGTGTGCCCGTGGGAGAAAAGAGCACTACTGCGCATGCTCGGTCGGCCCACAGCCACCGGAAGTACCTAGCCGGGCTAGGCTAATCTGGGATCATGCGCCATTGAGCTCAGCCCATTGACTTGAATGGGCGGCCATTTTGGAACCTGGGGGCTTGGGAACGACATGTCTCCACACAAACTAGTGGCACCGCCAAAATAAAAGCATCTGCTATAACCAGTCAAAATAAACTTAAACACAACCCTATAAAGAAATAAAACTGGATTTTGGTGAAATTGATAAAACAGTAAGACCACATGGGCTACACATACACATGTGTATACATGTGTATACATGTGTATACATGTCTACACATGTGTATACATGTATACACATGTGTATACATGTATACACATGTGTAGACATGTGTATACATGTGTATACACATGTGTATATACATGTGTACACCCCCCCCCCCCCCCTTTAAGATTTTAAGTGGCATAGCAATTTCTGTAAATA